TAATTATTCATATTTCCCCATGAGCTGATTCGCTACAATGCTAATGGCATATGCTCAGAAACCAAGCACTGTAGCCATTTTTACACAAAAGTTTTTTTTTCTTCTTTATTGTATTCTGACATGAATTTTATTTTTTATATTCTCATTTTTGTGACAAGTATGCACATTTCCCTAACACATTCTTATTACCATAATGCATCTAGCCATTTTTACTATTGAGTTTTATTGCAGTTCCCATGAATTGTCATTATTCTCAATGGAGATGCTCATTATGTATTTTTTTATTAAAGGGGTCATATGATGTTGCTAAAAATAACATTATTTTGTGTATTTGGTGTAATGAAATGTGTTTATGTGGTTTAAGGTTCAAAAAACACATTATTGTTTCTCCTCTATGCCCTGCCTTTCTGAAACGCGTTGATTTTTACAAAGCTCATCTGTCTGAAGTGGGGACATCATTACGGATTATAATGACTTATACAGTCTTTTTACGCATTGCATTGCATCGCATCGCATCGTGCCGTGTAAACATAAAACCATGTCTGCATTTGTGATCGGAGAAATGACAATCAACAACCGCTACTCTACACTGCTCAAAACTCGCGTTTGAATCATCAGTGGCAAATCCTTTAAATATGAAAATGTACTTACAGTCTGTGAGTCAGAAAAGAACATTGTAGTCTACTCTCCCAGGATCAGGAAACAGTCCTCCATGAAATGCTCTGCACACATCTGAATATTTGGGTTGAACTGGAACAGTGTTGTAAATACAACTGAACCACTGATTTCTAGTCGTGTCCTCTTTTGGAAGGCCAAACAAAGTAGTTTCGCTTTCACAAGCGTCACACGGTGGGCTAGAGTGAGTGGTGGCAGGTGGGCTAGAGTGAGGAATGGCCGGTGGGCTTGCGGCAACCACATGTGACGACCCCGGGCTGGACTCCGCTTCGTCCATGGTGAAAGCCGATCCGGCGATCCACAGCGCAAAGTTGTAGTATTTCCTCAGCGACCAGAACGGATCAGCTACAGGCATGACGAAGCGAATATCGTCCTCTTTTGGAAGGCCAAACAAAGTAGTTTCGCTTTCACAATGAAACACACAGCTCACGACATGGTGGCGGCAGCAACAACAATACTACAGCAAGAATAAAAGTTACGCCTTCTTTCTTTGCGTGAACATTTGGGTGGTGTTATGCAAATCTTCCCACATAGTGACGTAGACATGTGGGGGCGTGTTAGAACGAGCCGTTTTAGGTAGGCGTGGTTGACTCTGAACTTTTATAAAGAATATCTCTTTGGATTTGAGACTTTAATCTTTGCAACTTTACAGATCTTCTTTATGCACCAAGAGCTTGTAACACTTCAAAGAGAAAGGAAAAATTTAAATCGCATCATATGACCCCTTTAAATCACAATAAAATAATGGGCACTGTAGTTACTGGGTATTATAGTTTTTAATTATATTTTGAATAAAAAATTTTATATTTTCAGTTTAAATTTTTATTTTAGATAAATATTTTGCAATTGTTTTATGTGTTTTTGGCATTTTTATTGTTTTTTAATTACTATTCAGATTTCATTAATTATTATTTTATTTTTATTTTATTTTTTATTTATTTCCAATGAATTATACTGCTTCAACTTATTTCAGTTTGCTGCCAAGACGACATTTCAAATTTTTGCTTAGTTAAATATTTTTCATCGTCTAATATTTGTTTTATTTTAGCTTTATTTCCATTAATAAAGATGGTTTTAATAGTTTTAGGTAATAATAATAATCCTGACAGTAAGTGTAATTAAAATATTACAATTACAAATTGTTAAGTTTTTCTTTTGTCTTCAAGACAACTTGATAAAAATATACTATGTTTTATTATAGAGTCGTAAATTAAAGGTTGTACAACAATCAGAATTAAGGAGGAATATCCTTAATTATCACAACAATGTCAGAAAATCTTAATCTATTTTATTCATTTTCTTTATGCAAAACATAACTTTTTATTCATTTCTTTAGATTTTGAGATGAAATCTGACCTAGACATCTTCTTAACATGTTTTTATGAGATTTACCAAACTAGGCTATTTTGGTAGAAACATTTCTGTATGAATATACATCTCTTTTCACTTATTATGCTGGCTGCAAATCCAGAATATAGTCAGCTCACAACCTAGCTGTAAAGCTAAACATTGAACGTTCTATTCAAAGGAATTCCTGGAAAACCTGTTAGCAGCCAGTTTTTGGCACTCGTCGCGAATTAGAATATGAGATTAGATGCAGGCACCCGTACTGCTCTGTAACAGCATTTCTTTGAGGAAGACTGAGACATTCCTACAGGAGGTAAGATAATTGACAAACCAAATCCACACGCTGATATCTGAAATTGCTTAATCTCCATTTTAATCATCATGAGCTGCCACCTCTAGGTATCCATTTTCTCTTTCTGTCTATCTGTTTCTCCTTCTCTTTCCTTCCCCCTCTTCCCCATTTGCTCTCTTTCTCTCTCTCTCTATCTATATAATCAGGGCATGGAGTGCTGGATGTAGCATTTATTCACACAGTGCAGCCATGCATAGAACTGCCCCCATTAACTTAATATGCACAAGGTCCAGTGTTCATACAGCCTCTAGCCATTAGACTGAAAATCATGTAAAACATTTGACATGGAGCTTGAGAATAGCCACATTATGGAAAAAAATGGAAAGAAGACAAAAGAAAGAATCGCTGATTGAATTGAGTCATCATTTGAAATCCCCCTCTCTCTTTGTGAGTGTTTTAAACTGCGTAATTCTGACAAGTGGTGTCTAGACAGAGAGTGTAGTGACTGTCTCAGAGTCCTAACAGTTTCTGGAGAAGTATGAGGAGTCATGAATCACTTCGGCACACAACAGTGCTTTATATGCACAACATATGGCTTACAGAACATTCAGAGGGGATTCTCTCTTCCTCTCCCACTTCCTCTTTCAGTCTCTCTCTATCCCTCACTTTCACTTTCTCATTTTTTCTCTCTCTGACTGTATGTCTCTCATGCTCTCCCCTGCTAAAAAGACCTGCATATGTTAGGTTTTGGTTACTGGTGTCTGATATGGGATTGTAGGTGTGCTGTTGTGCCTATCACTCTTTTTAAATGGATAGTTCAAGCAAAAATGAACTTTCTGTCACTGTCTATAATATATAATAATTATAATAATAACAATAATAAAACAATTTGTGTCTGTGCATTTGAAAGTAAAGACATTAATAATTTTATAAAAAAGTTCAGATATTGTCATCACAGGAATAAATTACATTTTAAAATATACTCAAATAGAAAGCAGTTATTTTAATGTTCAATGTTACTGTTTTTACTGTATGTTTATCATATAAATGCAGCCGTAATGAGTGTAAGAGTCTTTTTTCAAAAACATAAAAATAAATAAAAATAAATAATAATAATAATAATAAATCTCACTGACCGCACATTTTTTGAACGGTACTCTACAAGTTCATGTTATGTGTCATGTTATGCAAATTAATAATACAAAATACAAGGAAGTTAAATAAAATAAAATATATATATATTTTTAATTTGTAATTATTGTTAATATTGTTGATAGTTTCTAAATTTAGTTTATATTTTATTGAATCTAGAAAAAAATGTCAGTGAGAAAATTTGAACTATAGAAATATTAGAAAGTATTTTAACATTCAAGAAACTACATACTTAAGATGTCTGGCTTTTGTTTTTTAAATGTATTGCTTCTTTATGTGTTTACTGTATTTCAGCTTGGCTACTAATAAGCACTAGACACATGGGGTTGAAACTAAACACATTTGTACTTAATTAGTCTGTGCCATCTGCTTTTGTTTCAGGCGGGGTCCTCTGTAATTTGATTGAATCCAGTTATGATCCAGTTTTCTTTTTTTACATTTTTGCAAAATGTTTAATACATGCATGCCTTCAAGGAGAGACATAGAAAATGAGAGAGAGAGAGAGAGAGAGAGAGAGAGAGAAATAACCCCAAAAGAAAGAAGTTTTAAGCTGACACCCATGTACGCTCTCAACAGGACTTGTGCACTTGGAGCCCAGAAGAAAATCAGGATCAGGAGCTCTGTAATTGAATTCACCTGATTAGAATTCCACCCCCTCGAGAGTGCGGGACTATCATGTATGGTTAGCATAATAAACAAAAAAATCTGAGACATGGGAATGCGGGAACCACTTCTTCCAAGCATACTGAATCAATTAATAGCATGTAGAAGGAAACCCTGATTATGTGAGCAGAGAGCCGGGCCAGTGAGTGAGGAGACTGGATTCTGGGCCAAGGTGGTTATTATTAGTGATGGAGAGAGTGTGTGTTCATATAGTGTGTTTTTTGGGTGTGCTTTGATCCCGTCTCTGCCTTGCACAGCTGCAGCGGTTAAGCTTGGCCCCAGAGGAATCCCACATAGACACTGTTCACCTCTGCCAGGATTGCACATCGCTGGTCAGCAACCTCAGTCGCTGGATCAAAGAGCAGAAGTATGTGAAGCTACCTCAACATGGATACGCTTAAATGCGCACACACCGTGTCCAGAAGTTTTCCATTGACATTCCGAAGTTCCCAGAATTCTCACGCCCCTCTTGTGTGTCACATGGATACTAGGTTAAAAAAAAAAATCTCAATATTTTTCAGGCTTTGAAATGTATTGGCTCTGAAATTACTTTTTGATAATTTTGCCCAAACAGCCTTTATAGTTAAAGAAATAGTTCACCCAATAATGAAAGTTGTCATAATTTACTCACTCTCAAGTTCCAATCCTGTTTCTTTCTTCTGTTGAACACAAAATAAAATATTCTGAATAATGTTAGTAACTAAACAAGTGACGGAAGCCATTGACTTGCATTGTATTTTTTTCCATGATATGAAAGTCAATGGCTACTGTCAACTGTTTGGTACCAACATTCTTCAAAATATCTTATTTTGTACTCAACAGAAGAGAGAAACACAGGTTTGGAACAACTTGAGGGTAAGTAAATGATGACAGAATTTTCATATGGGTGAACCATCCCTTTAAGTAGAACGTGCATTAGCTGTGCAAGTAGTCCATTTTGCCAGTTCCTTCTAGTTTTGCTCCGTCCAGCAAAAATTAATTTCTTGTCCCTTAACATTTTTAAGTCTTCTTGCAGACAATCATTTTAAGTGGCTTTTAGACACATGGAAGCTCAGTCCAAGTATTCCATTGTGTCTAAAATATAAGTAAATGTAAACTTTATTGAACTGTTGTATAAATGCATTGTCACATTCTCAACTGTGCTGTCACAAAAGTCATTGTGAATTTCATTGTGAGTTTTTAACATATAGCCCAACCATGTAAACATTAAGTATTGCCCTCTTTCTCTAACGCTGTCTAGTTAACTTGTGTGTTCAATTTTTCCCATTTCCCCTCTTTTTTCCCAATTCCTTAATTTCTCTCAGCCCTCCCTGGTTACTATTACCGTACATATTAAACACGTTTGCCCTCCAAGTACATCGTCAATACCTCATTGCAAATGAGCTTCATAAAACTCAGCCCATATTTCATATCACTGTTGAATGGCGAACAATGGCTTTTTATAGTGATGTCTGAGGTAATGCTCATTGAAGGGTTATTGCCTAATGATGTGTGGCCCGGTGGCACGACAACCTTCCTGGACCACCCACATTTTGTGGTTTGATTGAATAATAAAGAATTACATTAATTTGGCTAGTTAATTAAGAAATGTCAAAAGAAAAATACCAAAGCTCCCATGAATCCCCATACAGCCTTTTTGAAGAGCAGGACAGGCTATTTTTAGAGGTCAACCTTGCTTTTCCAAGTCTGTACTTGAAGAAGGCACACATTTGCTATGCTTTGTTTCCCTTTGTATCTCTATCTTGCTCTGATTACAACTACAGTGTTTGATTTGCAATTTAAGCCCAATCGTGATACAATCAGCTCTGATGAAAGCCATTGAGTCTCGAATCATTGTTGTTACATGCTGTTTAGTACGATTACCTTCCTGGGGTCTAAACTCCACAACATTCACGCATGCTTATTGAGTTCCATTTGCGCCGCCTGTTCAAAATCGAATGATGTTGATGATTCTGATGCTTAAAGCGAAAAAAAACTTGCTTCATATTGTAGTTCTGTCTTTCAAAGCCAACATAATCCACGATGACCTTGTCTTCCATGTTTGTCTTGGCAGTAATGTGATTTAGAGCACAGGAATATGAATGCAGTGAAAGGCCCTTGTTGACACCTCAATCTGAACTGTAGCACACAGAGAGTCAACAGCAGGTCAAATCTAAGCGCGGAACAAGTTTCTGCATCTTCCTCTCCAAAATAAAAAGTGCATCGCTTATGTTTGAGAGTTGTTCGAGTTTATGCTTTGGAGATTTGTGAACTTCCGTGTCTTTCGACACGCTCACGTCGTGTTTTGCTGAGTCTGCAGCGAAACTCGAAGTAGAAAGATTTAGACTGTTTCAAATTGTGTCGGATTACAATTAATAATGACACGCTTATACTAATTATGTCTTCAGTGTGGCCACCAGGAGGACTGTAGCAAGGTCAACTTCAGGTCAACTATGGTAATGACAGAGCAACATTTTAAAAATAATCTACCTAAAGTTAGCTAAACTTGATATGTTACAGTTCCCTTTCATGGGAACTTGGAACTGCGTCCTCTAGGGGTCGCTATGGGGAGCGCCTCGTCGTGACCCGTGTCTGAAGCATACATTGAAAAAACACGTTGGCCGGCGATAGTCATGACGTCACTACCGGTGCGACAATAGTATAAATAGGCGCCGGGAGAACACATCATCCTCTTCTTCGTATTCATTGACTGTTTTGTTTGAAGCATGCATTTCTGTGGTAAGAGCGGTCTCTATTCATATCATTATGGCGAGCACTAGCAAACCGTTTAAGAGGATGTGTGCATCCGTGTTGTCGTAGTTTAACATCTGATGACACACACGATCTATGCGTTATTTGTTTGTGTGAAAAGCACGCACGCGATGTCATCGAGGGGGCAATGAAAAAGCTCTGCTCTCGTTTGTCTCTCTTTTCGAGGAAAGACGGGCAGCCATCTGCTTCCCGCGATTCAGGTCCCACCGCTGCTGAGGCACGGAGGAGAATGAGCTCGTGGGGATCGCAGGTGGATCTGGGCGATGAGTTTGAAGAGGGGTTTCCCTCTTGCGATCGTCAGCTGTGGACAAGAGTGAGCTGCTGGAGGATGATGTTATTTCATTAACATTGTCTGATCCAGGGGCCAGTGCTCAGCTGAGTTCGGCCCAGCAAAAGAGGAAATGTCTGAAGAAGGCAAAGAAGCTGAGGCTGAGCCTTCCCAATCCTCCTGCCCTGCGTATGATGAGCTTTTGAAAGTTATGGATCGTGCCACGGCGAGGCTTTACTTGCCATGAAGCGGGCGAAGAAAGTGACGTCGCGAGGACATTTTGATGAACGTTATTTTTTCTGGCCATAACCCTCGAGCTCAGGTGAGCCTTCCTTTCTTCCTGTTTTCCATACAGAGATTGAGAAGGAATGGAAGAGGCTGTTTTTTCCTCATGCATCCATCGATTCCAGCATACGAGTTATGCCAACATCAAGGCGATGCGCGAAAGCGGTTATGAGAAGATGCCCCTATAGAGAGACACTGGCCAGCTATCTCTCTATGGGTGAAACGTCCTCTTTTAAGACTCCCTCCTTGACATCTTGCTCTAATGCAAGGGGATACGCAGCAGCAGCAGGTCGGGCTGTCGCTTCATTGCACACGATGGTGATGCTCCAAGCATATCAGGCTGACCTGCTGAAAGACCTGGATAAAGGAGGTCCAGGTCTGAGCCCGAACAACTCAGGGATCCTGGCCCGTTTCGGTTTGAGGATCAGAGACGGGCACAGAAGGCTAGTGTCACGGCTCGCGCTCCTCCCCCGCCCGCGGGTAGGGGTAGGAAGAATTGCGGGTCAAAGGAAGGTAGGTATATTTAATTCACTGGTGTTTGTGTGTGTAAACTTTCTGCTAGCTTTCTTTGCAGTGTTTCCCGGGACCTGTGTGTTTCTGTCCCTTTCTAGGGTAGGTCCTCGGTGAGCACCCCCTCTGCTGGATTCAGAAACCGGGTGCTCGACTTCTTGATCATCAGGCCCCCGGCACGGCACTGCAAACATTTCCTGGACATCCGGGCTGGGCTTATGCTTTCAGGCTGCCCTGTCTGGTTTACTGTATCTAGGTCGCCCTGAGGGGCCTCCTGATCACCAGGATATCCCCTCTTGCTGAGGCATCGAGCGGGAAGTATAGGTGGCATTTGCGAGAACCTTCTTGTGTAATGCTGTCTCAGGCAGTGCTCCCCTCACCTTAGAGGGTTGTATTTGAGCTTGCCTCTCCCGTTTGGCCCAGTACTTCCGGGTATCTGTGAGCAGATGCTTGGAAAACTCTAAATCCATACTATGGTAAGTGCACACATTAAGCTTTGCGCACTCTCTAAAAATCCACATAAGTGGTAAGTGTGCACGTTATGCTTTGCCCACTTTTCTGGAAGCCTGTATGGTAAGGGTTACGTGTTATTAACCTCGTTCCCTTTCTCTGAGTTGGTTTAGACCCCGGTACCTTGGGCTCCACTCATCTAGTGTGTCTCTTTCGACACACTCTGGAAGCATCGCTCCCCTCACAACTGAGGGTTATTGTGAGCATTGTGCTTTCTTTCGAGCGTTTAATTCTCTCTGAGGAGTTGGATTCCTCGCTCCATGGGCTGTTCTCGTGGTAGTGTTGGGCAGTGCTCCCCTTTTATCAAAGGGTTACCTGGAATGAGCACACTATTCCTCTGAATTCGGAGTTCTCCTCTCATGAGAAGTTGAGTTCTCTGGTTTCCAGAGCACCTGGAACCAGCAGCATCAGGGAATTTGGCCCTTCCTCTGCCTCTCTGATGCGATGAGTGTTTGGCTAGCTTGCAGTACGCTTACCCTTCTGATTCTACAATCACGCTGTAGGTCGAGCCCCCTCTCATTAAGAGCTGGGTTTGTGCTCCCTCAGCTAAGGTAAACTACTGCTAGCAGTTCCGGCATTGGAACATGCTGTAGGTAGAGCTCCATTCTCTACTTAGAACTGGGCTTGTTGCTCTCTCAGCTAAATAAATTATTGCTAGCTGTTCCAGCTTTGGAACATGCTGCAGGTCGAGCTTCCTCTCGTTTGAGAACTAGGGGTGTTGCTCCCTCAGCTAAGTAACTGCTAGCTGTTCCAGCTTTGGAACATGCTGCAGGTCGAGCTTCCTCTCGTTTGAGAACTAGGGGTGTTGCTCCCTCAGCTAAGGTAAACTACTGCTAGCAGTTCCGGCATTGGAACATGCTGTAGGTAGAGCTCCATTCTCTACTTAGAACTGGGTTTGTTGCTCTCTCAGCTAAGTAAATTATTGCTAGCTGTTCCAGCTTTGGAACATGCTGCAGGTCGAGCTTCCTCTCGTTTGAGAACTAGGGGTGTTGCTCCCTCAGCTAAGTAACTGCTAGCTGTTCCAGCTTTGGAACATGCTGTAGGTCGAGCTCCCTCTCGATTGAGAGTTGGATGTTTGCTCCCTCAGCTACAGATTTACTGCTAGCCACTCCAGCATTATAAGCCTTAAGATCGAGTTGATGACTTCTCAAACATAGCGTTTTGGGATGCACCATTTCCATCTATGGGCTGCTCTTTCAGAGTGCCACGAGAACCCCTTAGAACGGTATTGTTTAAAATCCATGTTATGGTAAGTGTGCACGTGAAGTCTTTGTACACTTTCTAAAATCCACACTGTGGTAAGTTCGCACGCTAGTACTCTGCGTTCTTTTCTAGAATCCTGTATGG